GCATCACATCGTACACAGCCGGAGTTGAACATCACTTATTTCTGTAAAAACATAATAACCACGCGTTCTAACCGTTAATCCACATCAGAATGATCTTTGAATTGTTTAAATGTATTTCTTATAACCATATATAGGTTCATAGCAGGTTTTCTTTGTGATTGGATGATAAAACTTACTAGGAACTGGAAACCGGTATAAGTCTGGTATTGACGTAGATTGTGACTACGGTATGTAGTATTAAAAATGTTTGCTTGAGACGTTATTATGTAGTCCTAACTTCATTAGTATATAGCATATCACATGCGATTATTATGAAAAACAACATAAGATTGCTTTAAAATAAATCTAGATTAGTTATAGTATTTAGTAAATCGGATAAATAGTTTAATAATATATAAATACGTTGAAAAAGACTCCACAGAATTTTAATACGTATTATACCTTTTCTTATTCATGTAATTTAGTAAATTATGACATATACGGTATATGCGGTATACAACGTATAATACATACGCCAAACAGCATTGCCTCAATAATACACATAAAAAAAACAGGCTACGTTAACCGGATTAATTATTAACACTACTCAAATACACATAATATAGGTGTTAAAATACCATAGTTGTGTTGTCAATTTTATCAATCAAATCAATTTTTTTGGTCGGTTTGGTCATTGGCCAGCCAAAAAAAAATATAAACTTGGCCGAATTGGCCGGCCAAAATTTTGTTTGGCCGATAAAATTGCCAGTTATATCAAGGCCAGATATACTAAGTAAAATATTCGGAACGCTTAAAAGCCTTATATTGCCTAAATTTGGGCCTTTATATCTGACCTCTATCTTAGTTTGTAGTTGCACTCTAATTTTAGATTTAACATATATAAACGCAGTGAATAAAATTATATGTATGATGCTGCAGTAAAAATAATATTGAAATAATTATAAGAACAATTCACAAATATTGTGTTAGAAAATTTTATTCAAAGTTTGCGACGTCGACGGGAAAATTATTAGTATACAAATATCTCTTAAAGCCAATGAAAAAGAGTTAAATATTTTTATTGCGTTTAGGTATATTTCTTAATCAAAATATTATTATTGACGCGCTATTAATACATGTCATGATGTCATGACTAACTATTACATATCGATATAAACCGTATTTCTTTTTTTTAAATACATATTAAATTTGATTGTTGCAATCATAACTAGTGCTATCATGTGATGTAGCTTAGGAAATAAGCAAAAACCAGGAATTGTGGGTTTTCCGAAATTAATTTAATCCCATATAATATATGTTGTGTTTAAATTTATCAGGAATCGGATCAAAAAGCGGAGCCGGCAAAAATCGAAAATCCAGGTTTTCGCTTGGCGACACCCAAATAGGGGTATGACTTAAAGTGCACAAAAATAGGCCCTTAACGATTTAAGGGATAACATCCTTATTTTGTAACGTAATAATCTCGTTTTAAATTTTATTTAACTATTTTTAGTTTCATTATAAGGCTTTACATAATGTTTATTTAAAGACAGCTTTATAAAACAAGAATAAATTAAGCGAACCAATAATTTAATAGACTTTACATATCACCAGACCGAATTATATTGAAATCAGATTTACCAAAATTCGCAAAACTACATAAAATCACGCAACCTACGGTAATTTTAAACCCTAAATATGGCATAGAGAAGGATGACGTGTGTTAAGAAAACCAAAAACTACCTATTTGATGATGATGGCGCATATAGTTCATTAAATAAATGAGCAAATATGAATATTAATCGAAAAATATGATACCCTAACATCCACAAGCTTCATATTTATTTGCATCACTATCAATTTTGATCGGATCCGGGAAGTCACTGTAGCTTAACAGAAATAAAAAATCAGACCAAGAAAAAAACAAAAAAAAAACATTCTATGAATCTAATAACATACAGGATATCTTCAGTTTCTTGTTGTAAAGCATTTTTAGCTATGGTTTGGAATGCTTGTTCCACATTAATAGCCTCTTTTGCGCTCGTTTCAAAATAGGGAGTGTTCCCTTTGGACTGGCACCAAGACATAGCACGTTTTTGAGAAACCTGACAAGGAAAATAAATAGTATTAAGAGATTATTTCACAAATTAACTATAAAAATTAATGTCGATAATGGCAATGAATTAAGTTCACAAAAATACCATTCTCTTTGACTCTTCCAGATCAATTTTATTGCCCAAGACCACAAAAGGAAAATTTTCAGAATCTCGTGGAGAGGCCTGAATTAAAAATTCGTCTCTCCAACTATCCAATGTCTCAAAACTTTTGCCATTGTTAACATCGAACATAAGGACACAGCAATCGGCCCCACGATAGAAAGCAACACCCAAAGACTGAAAACGTTCTTGACCCGCAGTATCCCAAATCTTGTCAAATTAAAAAACAAACTTTTAAAAACAATTAAAAAAAAATCCAAATATCAAGTAAATGCGATATGTGTAATACAAACCTGCATCGTCACAAGGCGATCATCAACCATGACTTCTTTGGTCAAGAAATCAGCGCCAATAGTAGCTTTATATTGATTGCTGAATTTCTTATTGACATATTGATTCATTAACGAGGTCTTGCCTACACTAAGTTCATTAAAAAAAAAAGAATTGAAACAAAATTTGAGCTTAAACTAATTCTTTCACATTTGAAAACCTTCTAATTATTAATAATTACTCTAAAGCATCATTTTATAAAAGATCCTCATTAACAAATTGAACTTTTTTTTTCTTTTTTTTAGAAGTCAGAATATTTTGTCTTATAAAATTGGGATCTTAAGCTGCTAATATAAAAGTATGCTTATGTCAAAACTAAAATATTTGTATGAGAAAATCAACATACCCGCTATCGCCAAGAATAATAACCTACAAGGATAATATAAAAAATGGTAATATTTAGTTATCTAAAAAGTCGATTATGAAACTGATAGAAAGGAAAGGACTTTGTAAGATCACAATCAATATTGGGTTACCTTTAGAAGAACCTTCTTTCGGGAGGCCATTATAAGAATTAGTATACTTTATAGTAAAAAAAAGCTCAATACAAAGTAATTCTGAAATATATTCGAGAATAGTAGTTTTCTGCGTTTAGTCAAAAACCACGTTATATTTCACAAGGAAAAGACGCGGGAGTTTCTTTTTTTTTTTTTACTTTGATAATGTGATAGAGATAGACAAAGCAGGAGTAAAAAAGTCGGTTTACCTAAAGCTAACGGATGTCTTTGTTGGGCTGAATAAATTGTGAAACAAGATGAAAAAATATCACAAGGTACCTGAACACACGACGGTATAATGACATCAGAATTAGAATTCTAGCCACAGCATCCACGTGACTAACGCACGTTCTTTAAACTACCCCAGTACACTTCCTGGTATCACCATAAAAATTCTTTAAAGTCCATAAAGTCCATTAAAAGCTAGAGTGTATTTGGGAGTAGAAGTTGACAAATATATAGTAAAATCACTCAAGGAAAACTTTTTGTTAGAGCACTAAAGGTGGTTTCTTATGCGAATTTTTGATAATGAGTACTTTTTTATAAAATAAAAGTTTATTTTTAAGGTTTTCTGATCGTATTTCGTTACATCTGATCTTGAAATCTGATTTGTTTGCGCCACAATAATTATCATGTGATTGCAACTTTTATGGGAATATTGGAATAGATGTTCATTTGATCAATCAATTTTTGATATCCGAAATCCGTTAAAAAATTGATTAATTAAATCAAATTATCCTTATATCTATAATTGTCCAAAAATTTTATTGTGTGAAATGTAGATGTTAACTTTAAGACAATAGGGTAATTCAGAATTGATCAGATTTCTGATTTCGAATATATTAGTGACGTACTTGTTTCGAAATAAGCGACCCATGAATTTTTTTTGTATGATAATAAATATGTATAACATCAAACAAAAACATTCTTTCGTATTTCATTCTCCGATTTCGGAATTTAAAAATAGAAAATAGGAGTTTTTAGATTCCCACTTATTTTCGAAATAATTAATTCTTGGAATTATTCTACTAATCAGAATACTTCCATGAAAAAAAAACAGAAGATTGCACTGTATCCTATTCATAAATTTTGATTTTTTTTATGTATATAATGTTTATAACTGAATATTCATTGAATTTAATCGTAATAAATATATTAGAACCTTCGAATATTCATTGAATATCCAAATAATTATTCAACGTATCTGGGAAGATATGCTCTTTGGCTATACATGCTGCCCAAACCATAAATTCTCAAAATCCCAAACATAGTAAATCAAGACGTAAAATCCATCCAAATACAAAATCCCAAATTCTAATAGTTTTGCCAGCTAGCAATATATATATATCAGTTAATGCAAATGTAAAAATGCCAAAAGTGTTTCGTAGAAATAACCAGATAGTAAAGATCGAATACAACTTAAAAGATTGATTTGAAAGCTTCAAGTTCTGAGCTGGAGGCATAGAACACTAATACAATAATACACTAATACATATATTCTTGAGCGTTGGCTTCATTACTCCATTGGCAAGACTAAATTTCAGAATTTAAAAATGGTTGAATATCGATATGTTACTTAGAGTTATACTGTACAATTTGTTTGAATTTTGCAGAACTGCTACGTAGATATGTGCGTATTATATCTTAGAAAAACACAAGCATTACTTAATTTATAATGTACGTACCTATGTACGTACATGAGCATAACTCATAATAGATAAAATATGCGCCCTGATGCACATTTGATACTGTTTAAAAATCGAAAAAAAAATCCCCGCTACTACACGATAACTGTTCGAAGTCATCCTAACTATGTTGCTGTAGTGAATTTACCTAGCGACACTGTTATATCAAGGACTGTATAAGACAACGGTAATGCACCACTCCTGCATATCACAAGATAATTCCATCTATTATATGATATATATATAATATATATATACTTTTTTTTTTTACGTACATAGTACCCTTTCACCTAATGGCAACAATGGCAACTTCAGTACAAGAGTTTTTGTCATGGGCGCAAGGTAATTTAGCTTCGCTTTTACCAGTAACTTTTAAAGAATACTGAAAATATAGTAACTACAGCACAATACTCGACAATGCAGAAAATGGTGTAATGTCTGATATCAATGTTCGAAAGATTCCAGATAAAGGTTTAGGTCTTGTCTTAAAACGCCAAGCGGCTCGTGATAATTCAATAGTGGCATATATTCCTTTTCATCTTTTACTTAACACGACAAAAGTTGGAAAATATGCTAAAGAAAAAGCACCTAAACTTGAGGAAACTTTCCAAGCTTTAATAAAAAATGGTGAATCATTGACCGAACGTATGGTACTTATATGTTTTCTATTATATGAACGTTTCGGCCGCCTTGCATGCGGAGAAGAACCTTCCTTATGGAAACCGTATGTTGATATTTTACCGCACACTCTTCATACTCCATTGTTTTATGATAAAACATTAAGAGCTTGTCTAGATGGAACAAGTTTGAAATCGGCTGTTGACGCAAAATTTAATAAACTTCACCGTGAATATAATAAACTTCGTCCTCATTTTAACCAATGGTCTACGCAATCTTCGTCATCTAATAATAATGTCTCCGATAATCTCGACATTATTACTCTTGATCATTTTGTTTGGGCTGATGGTGTATTTTGGTCTAGAGTATTATCTTTTGGTAGTCGTCTTGCTTCTGACAATAATTTCATTGGCTCTATTTCTGATGACTATCATTTAGTACCATTTCTTGATTTCGCTAATCATTCTTTAAAACCATACGCTCGTTGGGAACTCACGCCTGAAGGTGTTGAATTAATTCTTACAAAATCTGATTCTCCTGAACCTATTCTCCCTGATACTGAAATTTGTATCTCATATGGCGATAAACCTAACTCTGAATTGCTATTTATTCATGGTTTTACGTTGATCGATAATCCATGGTCCGCAATTTCTTTTCCTGTACCTTTCTATGAAAACGATGAATATGAAGAAGAAAAATTTATATTTATGCAATGTCATGGAATCAAGCCTTTAGTTTCTCTTACTAGAAAAAAAGGTGGCGCTGAATTAACTCGTGAATCTACCAGAGCAATGTGGATAAGTGTTTTAACGAAAGAAGATGGTTTAAAATTCACAAATGTAATCGATGATTCTTCACAACCTGTAAATTTAACAATTGGTGATAAAATTATTCATACTCTTGATGAGTTGGATAATACTGTCAATGAATTATCTATATTTCCAATAATCGAAGGACGAGTTATCACTCTTATTTTAGAAAATGTAGAACATCTTTTATCACATTTTAAACAAACAAACGAAAAAGTTTTGAAAATGATGGAAAGTGGCAAAAATTCTCGTGAGTTAGAGTATATTAGAATATATAGAGAAGACGAATATAAATTTTTGGAATATGCTGTGGATGATTTCACAAGAAAGCGCGATTCTTTATTATCGGACGAATACATACTTGAATAGGTAATATCAATATATCTATATTTTTTTTATTGCCAAAATTAATTAATTGATTGACAAGAAACGCTTATGGTATTGTCTTTAATTGTATATACAGTGTTTAAAATTTGTTAATCTTTTTGTAATAAATATATTGAGACCGAAAGGTTTCATACTATTAGGAATGGATCATTTTTCTTTAAATTTTATACGTAAATTTTTTGAAGAAAATTACTTTTAATTTAATTAATACTTGTTTGCATCATAAGTAGTTAATTCCTGTTAAAAAAATTACAATAATTTTCAATTTGAAATTTTAAATTAAATAGAATAAGTACTGATTCTGTAAAATTGATAGAGCCAAATTTTACTAAATTAGAAAAAAAAAATTAATATAATATAATTCAAAATTAATTTTGAAGCCATTTTAAAAAAATTTTTTTTTAAAAAAAATTAATACTGTATATTAATTTCAAATTTTTTAATAAGTGATAAAAAATTGACTTAATTTGACAAAGTCATTGAAGAATTAAACTTTAAAATTATATAATTTAAAAATACTATATACTGATAATTAGATTTTTACTGCATTCCGCATCCCTCTAGAATAGTATTCCATGAGATGTACCCACGTGCGTGAATTAATTATATCTTGGCGAAATAAATTTTTAACGAAAATCAATTAGACTAAAAAAAAAAGACCAATAAATATAATAATCTGCTAAACCCAATTCTGTCTCATATGACATTTCGCGCAAGATCATATGACATGCTAGGGTTATGTCTCGCGAAGGTACATCTCTAATTAAGACCCCAATGCCATTACGCAAAACTCCAATTTATAATTGAATGCAATAAATATATACACAGTGGCTCTCGGTATAACGGAGGCCATGATTCCAGTCTTTTGCTTCGTTATATGCAATATCAAAATTCCATAACATATCAGATATTATAGTAAATCATAATTTGGTTCCATTATAATTCTCCGTGTAAATAACATCACTAAATTATATTAAACTAGTAATTATTTACATATATATATGATTTGAAACCGACCGAAAATTATCACCTGTAATAAATTCGGATTTCATTATGATGGGAATTCATTCGCTCGCCTTATTAGTTATCACTCGGACCTTGTTATTTCCCAAAAAAATTTTTTAAATGCCGAAAAATTTTAATATGAATTGAGACTAGTAATACGAGTCCTCATGTCGTCATACGATAAATCATGTCGTCATACGATAAATAACTCATTTATTCTACCATGTCGAGGCAATAATTGAATCATTTCCCTAACGGCACGCTTATGGCCCCACATATGCCACCAGGGAAATATTTCATTATTCCCTCCGTCTCAGAGAATAAATAACGCGGTAATAAAACATAAACGTATACCGATGTAGATACATCAAAAAAAGGCAACTTTTTAACCGAAACGCGTTAAAAACGTAACTTTTGCATCACTCGACATAAACGCCGAGTCCTTCATAATTACTTTGCAATAAGAGTCTAATTGCACTTTATACATTACTACACACAATTAATTATATAAGCAATATGGTTCATTTTTATTAAGGATGCTTGTTCTATTCTGCATTCTATGTATTCTATAAAAATAAAATGTACTTATTAAACCTCATGGCAATATAGAAGGTTATTTTTATTAGTTATTATCAACACTGTTCCAACACTTTTTTCAGATCTTCAGCTTCCATAGGAATAAAATATATATTCTTTCCATTTTTTGATTGAAGGCTTTGAATGATTTCATGATTGCGGAAGTCTGACAAAAACTTGTTGAAATCCCCATCTGTGCGAATACAGAAATCTGTTCTACACGCTTTATAAAATGCATCATGTTCCATACCGATATCTTCAGACTTCAATGCACCACCTTTTCCTTGTCGAGATTTCCTCTGTTGTTGAAGTAAATTAGCTTGAATTTGATGTTTCGCTAGGATTTCAAACATTCGACGCCTGTTCGCATTCCAAGTAGATAATACACTTTGGACAACTTTTATATTTAACTCTTGTTGTTTACGTCTTTTCACCTTTGGACTATCCTCGAAGGTTGGTTCTACTTCATAATGATTGAATGTGGTGACATCATGCCAAATCCAATTGAACTTGGTTGCTCGATCTTGATCAAAAAGCAAGGTCGCGTTGATATGATCCGTGGATGCAATAAAATAAATATTGGGACAAGATGCAAGTATGCTAAGGCAATTTTGTATTTGCAACGTACGGAGACCTTGACCATCGATATTATGTATCATAATATATAAACATTGAACACTTCGGTCAGGATCGGAAAAATATTCTTTAATTATTTCCGTCAGCTCTTCCAACGTTTCACGTGATTTTGGTTTCACACCCATATTAATACCACTAATTACTTGTATAAAGATTTCCTTAATCTTTAATTTCGAAAGAAAGCCATTAATTACAAGAAGTGGTCGATCTTTAAGGTAGGCATCCGAAAACTCTTCAAGTAATTGCTTTTTTGATCCATATCCATAGAACAAAAGATTAAAACCGGACTTTAATTCAATATACCATTGTAAAAATTGGCATTTATAAAGGTTTGAGAGCATTTCAATTTCAGTCTTGTGTTTAACAGGGATCTTTGTCAATATATTTATACATTCGGCTTTATCTAACACACCAACTCCAGTAAGGGTGTTGTTGGATGTACGCGTTTTCATATGATGATCTTCGAAATATCTTTCATATCCTGTTTTATCTTGTTCTAAAATAGACAGCTTGCTTTTGGTTTTTGTCCTTTTAGCCATTTGTTTAGTTTTTTCTGTTGAAAGATTATGTTTCTTAGCCGGTAATTCCATCTTTTCCTCTTTCACTTCTTTCCTTCCTGCCAATTTCCTTCTTGCTTTTATTCTTTGTGAGATAGTCTCTTCGGATGGGTTCAGAGGGGGCATATCAATTAAAACAAAGGGTTTGGGTAAGTTTGGGGAAGGAATGCCACTTAAAGTATTTGGTTTTTTTACAACGGCAACCCGACGAGTGTTAAATCCCATTTTTATTGAGAAAGGTTTTTGACGCGAAAATTTGTTAATGGTAGTTGAATATAGTCGTTATTTATATAATAAAAAATATATTGACGTGTATGACGTATATAATTTTATGCAATCTGATTGATCCTGTTATGAAAATCAATCATGTATCTATCTATATATGAAACATCAAAAAAAGTGTTGGTTACTTTATTGATATTCTACCTGATTTTTATATTGTTTTAAGAATATTTTTTTCAAACACAATATCTTCGCCACTTTGCGTTTTTCTCTTTTCTTTCTCAAGCCATTTATTATATGGTATATATAATATGGAAACATACGATCATCTTATCAAATATAATGATGACGACTCTTCTGTCAGTGTTCCCTTCGGACGTGCTGCGGAATATTATATTTCGAAGCATCCTTTATTAAAAAATATTCGACTAAAGGCTCGTAGTCGTCTAAGAACACCTCAACTTATAAAAGAAGGAATTATTACCTTGAAAAGAGTCGAAGGTGCTGTTGACTTTGTGGAATGGACTACATCTAACGGAAACACAAAATCAACCAATCGCATTGATGATGTCATTGAACTTACTCCAAAAGGAAACGAATTAGTTGAAAAGATTTCTTCTGGAAAGGCTAAAGACAAGCTTTGCTGGTCTTGGGTTATGTATTGTGCGGGAGACGGAAATACATGTCAACATTTGTGCGGGGGGATTGGAAAATGTAACCCAGATTGCCCAAATGTTAATTTACCGAACAATCTAAAAAATAGCAATGATAGACATCGTTGTCGATTACGTGTTGTCTCGGAGTCGCGTCTTTCCTGGATAAATACTCCGCATCAATTGAGAATTAAGATTGACGGATGGCATATTCCTCCTAATGCTCTCGTTGTTCATTCACCACAAGTTACGCGAGTCAATCTTACACGGTCAGCACGTGACCAAATTATTATAAGTCGTCGAGCGGACCGCTGGACAGCAGATGATGTAAAGACAAAGATATTGGTATCGAAAAAAGGTGCCACTGAAGCTGATCTCAATCAAGATGTGGTTAAAAATCGTGATATTTGTAATAGCAAACAACTTAAACGATTAATTGTACGAGACGATCGTAGAGTTAAGGACAATTCTGGTCCTTGGACAGTTCTCCAACATTACATTCAAGATGTTTTGAAACCACGAGGTCATGTATTATACTATCAGAATCCTAACCTTTCTGCTGAGGAAAATTCTCCTGATCGTTATTACCAACTCATTGTATCGGATGATTTATGGTTGAATAATGGTAGAGATTTTGGACAACATTTCTTCTGTATTGATGGAAACAATGGCCTAAATATGGATCGTGCGACAGTCCTTACTATGGTGATTGAAACAAAATCTGGACATCTTACACCATTGGCATTTGGTACTGGCATTTTATAGTTTGTTTTTATTGATTAATTTTGACAATTTTTTTACGTATTCATAGCCGTATACTTGTGCATAATATAGCCCTAAGTAATGGTGATGATAAAATACCAGTGCGAGTTGCAATTTCTGCAATTAAGGCAAACCTTCCGTGTAATAAATCGGATTGCAGTCATGCTTGGTATTATGAGGACTTGCCTAATAACAAAGGTTTTCGACGAATTCGTGAATGTTCATCTATAAACCCTTGGAATCCTATAGCAATGATCGATCAACATGTACCAATAATGCATGAAATTGAAAATGAAGTTCGTGGTACTATTCTTTCTTGGACACATATAATGTTGAAATTAGCGGAGAAATTTAAAACATGGGATGTACCAAAATTGTTAAGGTATGCAGGTTGTCAAATTATGAGTTATATTAATAAAAATTTGTCTGATAAATCTATTTCGTCAGATATCCAATCGCAATGGGTTTCAAAATAATTGGAAGAAGTCGTTCAGACGAAGAAGCTGATGATTTGATGAAATTATTTAAAAATTTTATAGACGCGTTGGCGATTGGTCCTGAACAAAAGTCTCTTATAAAGGATGAATTGGAAAACAATTGGATGAATGATGAGTGGCGTAATAAAATTATTGATTGCGGGCGTATATTCGATGACCTCTTAGATGAGAAACCAATGACATCTAATAACTTGACAGAAATAATCAGTCGTAAAGTAGAAGCCCAACTTGATGGCAAAATGACACCATTAGCATTCCTCGAACGACTTTTTGGAGTAAAGCTGCGAAGAGATAGTTTACATGCTGATGATGCGCCTGTAGAACAGTCTGATCAAACAAGCTTAGTCGCACTCCTTAATGCGCAATCAATAGCACAGGTAATTAACAACTGTGACAGTTGACGCTGAAATTTAGGGCCTCTATTCGAATATGTAAATCTGCTAAAGCTCATTATACTCTTTATTAATAATCCTAACAAAACTCTTAAAAGTATATATGAGTGTGTTGTATCTCGAATTGGAATATACTCAATTTGGAATTCGGTTGTCCTATTCAAATCGGGTTACCCGGCTTTGGAATTCTCAAGCGAGTTACCCGCTAAAGAATTAGTAAGGTTAGGATGTATATAATCAATTATATATCAACCCGGATAACCGAATGGGAGGATTCCAATCCGGGGTACAACAGGTTCAAATTTTCAACTTTGGCTGTTACAATAATTATCAATTATATTAATTCTATTACGAAATTTCATACTTATTGTTACAATTAATTAAACAACAAAATCAGCAAGATCAATCGGAACAAGCTTTACCTAATGACATTCAGTGTCACCTGAACCTTGGACGCCTTTATTTCCTTTATAATATTGTCGAGCCAGCAGAAGAAACAAACTATTACTATGTTAAAAGAATAAATGAAGCATCACTAACTTTTACATCACCGTACGATGGTAAACAAATACAACTGGATGCTAATGCTATGGAGAGTTTGAAACCAATGATTAATAGTTTTACTAATCGTCAAGGCGTGGTAGAGCGCCAAGGTTATTATATAGTCAACATAAAAACTGGTGAATGTTCCATGTGCCTCGATTTTATCTGGCACGGAAGATTCCGTAGTGTATGCAAACACTGTCATGCAGCACGTATATTTGCAGAGGGACAGCAGTTAGGTGACTTCTCTCAAATCATAAAAGAGACAAAGCAGAGATTGGTCGATTATTTCAGATCGAGAGAGGACATTTCTCAACAACAGCGTAACATTATCATCTCCCAAGGCTCTATAGAAGAAGCCTATTTAGAAATTGTCCGATTATTTAGTATTAGTGGTATTATCTTGTTTAATGAGGTTTAATTACAAATTATATATTTGGCTAATTGACTAATTTGCATTGTCCTTTTTGTTGAAAGGGGATAAAATCTTTGATCCCCCTGCGTCCAAAGATTTTTGTAGGGATCCTTTACGTAATTTCAAATCAAAGAGGAGAAACTCTGTTAAACCTAATGGGCCATCGAAGCCGAATAAACGAGTGCGTACGAAGGAAATAAATATAGGTCAACAAATTGAATTTTCAGATACACAAGCGCCCCTTGAAGAGGTAATAAGTATATCCAATTAAAGACTATCTTATCATGTTTTGCTTGAAAGAAGAAATTCATTTTGCATATTTAAATAATTGTCATATAAACCATTTGCTTAAATAGGGTTGCGACCCAAATATTTTTTTGAATTATGATATTACTACGTAGTTTTTGATTTGGAAATCGGTATTTCCTTTTCATTTGGAAAATCTAAATAGATGTTCATTCTTAGTCAATAGTGTAAAATTTAAAAACCCATTAAAATTTGTTAAATCAATGCTACAAATCATTAAAATTTTGTTATTTTATTTCAAATTAAGAACTTAAGAGGGATTTTAGGATAAGTTGAATAAAGTGATGTATATCAATATGTGTGCTGTACATCGAAATCAAATTTTTGTCGATTCTAAATCGACGTAAATTGCAATGGAATAAGATAATTCAATTTCTACTTAATACATTTAACTCGATCAACTATTAATAAAACTCGGTTTATTAAGAGATAATTGAATCTTAACTACCTCTTTTTTCTTTAAATATGATCGAAAACAAGTTTCATCTGAATTAGAAATCAATATATAGATATCTAATTGAGTGTGAGTTAAAATTATAAAATTCTCACCGGAATTAGTCTCTATCAAAAGTTATAAATACGTAAAAACAATCGTTATCACATATATATAATATATATAATCAGTGTAAACGCAAAAAAACAAAAATGCTTTTTACAGAAGTATTTTAAAATCTAAATGCAACTAGCTCGTAAGGATCCAATGTAATTTAAGGGCTTGCTTTGAAACACCACAAAGTTTGTAATTTAGAGATATCTTTGTGAAATTCTATGATTCCTCTGATACAAGCATACGAGCTTAAAATTATCATTAAATAATGCTCGATGCAAAAATTCAAATTTAATTATAATTTTAATCGTTTATAATTTTAAAAAATTACCATCTAAATGGGTTCTGAATCAACTTTAGTTGGTTCAAAATTCTCTAACCGAATGGATGGGTTTAAATTTTCAACTTAGAATCCAATTAAGCAGATTCTAAATTGAGATTCTATTTTGACGCACAACTAGTGATGTAAACTTAATTAAATTTCAAAACTAAAATAATTTTATTTTTCGAAAATTTGATAATTTTGAATTATATAGTAAATAAAGCGAAAATTATATAATTTAATAATAACGACAGTGATAACAATAATGATTAACTAAAATTAACTCATACTATAATAAGTCTCTTTGACCTTGATACTATAATAAATCTCTTTGATACTGTAATAAATCTCTGACTTTTATATCGTAAAAATTTCTTTGACTTTATACTATAACAAATTTCCTTAATCTTAATTTTATTAAGATGATTAATGAATCGATTTATATAAATTCATCTTTAAATATATCAAACCAGTTATCGCAAACTGATATATGTCCAGAGGAACCAAATAAAACATTAAAGTGAAAAAGTACAGGTCAGCCAAGAGAAAAAATTTGGAATTACTTTGTAGCAAGCAATGTTGCTGATAATTGTGTGTAACTTGTCATTATTGTTCAAGACATTGGAGTTATAGATGTCTCAGAGAAATGGAAACTCATCTTGCAAATATTTGTCCTGAAGTTCCTATAGAAATAAAAGTATATTGGCAAGAATTGTTTTTAAATAAAATTATTAATTATAAACAGATCAAAAGTTCAAATCAAAGACAATTAAATCAATATGAATTGCCATTATATGAGCAAAATGAAATTGACAAAGCTTTTTTAAAAGCATGAGTTATAATAGACATTTCATTTAATATTATTTATAATCCTTTTATGATTGATTTGTTTAAGCATATTAATTTGGCATATGGTTTATTTAATCAAATAACATTTTTGAACAGATTATTGGAGCAAAAAACTGTAAGAATTAATCTTAAAATTGATATTAAATTAAAAAAACAAAAGTTTTTAATACTTGTACTTGATGAATGATCATTACTTACTAAAAATTCAATTTATAACTATATAGTTTTGATTATAGATTAACATAAGTATCATGTAGCACTTAAAAACTATTCAAAAGTTTTACAAACTGAAATATTTATTGCAAATAAAATTGAAAATATTCTTATTATTATAAAAATAAATAAATTTGCTAGAATTGTAATTAATAAAAGTAGTAATGTTAGAGTTGTATAACAAATAACTAATCAGAAGGATTTATATATTTTAAGTATTTAATATATGACTCATTTACTTAATATCATTTCTGCAGATTGAGTAAAAATTAAATCTATTAAAAATTTAATTTTTTAGTGTAATGAAATAATAAGATTTTTTAATAAAAACTATCATACAAATACTATTTTAAATGAAAAATTAACAAACTTACAAATTAAATATAAAAATTTAAAAATGTATATTAAAACATAATGGTGTTTACTTTAAGATACTACAGACTTTAATACATGTTCATCCAATATATAATTGGGTATTTTAATTTTATATATATTTATTTATATATATATTTTTTATATATATATTAATATTTAGTATTTACTATTTTTTAAATTAAACATAAACATTTAATAATATTAACTAATAAAAATGTATCTAATTATATTGAAGATGAAAATTTATTTCAAATATATAAAATAGTGTTTGAAATTCTCAAACTAATTAAAAAAGTTATTAATTTTATAGAATTAAAAACTGCAACAATAGTTGATTGCTTTATTGAATACATAAAATTAGTAATTACAATTAATTAAATACCTAATAAAAATACTTTAAAAGATAATACTATTATTAGGGGTGTAGCGACCTAGTGAAGTGGATAGGTTGTCAATCCTCAAGTGGCAGGTCTAAGGTTCAATTCCCACGGACGACGAATTTTGAAAATTATACCTGTGTTATGGTAACTGTCTCTTGTCGATCGGTTGGGTTTTGGGCATCTGTAATCTTAAGTACACCAAGTCGGGCCCCACTGGACATTGGGAGCTCGGGGCATCTATGCTAAGTGTAATGTTACACAGTACATGTAAATAGAGGAATGTAAAACCAGTGTCGTATAAGGCTTCGGGCAAACCCACGATAAGACCACCGGGCGTAGAAGGCTAAAAAACTGAAGAGACAGAAACTCACTTGAAAATCCCGAGTAAAGAGATAGCACAAACTTTCGATGGTGCCATTGAACTGACAGAAGCCCATGAAACACCTTCATAGTAACTGTTGTATAAACCAGATGACAAAAGATGTGTAGAGGAGCACATGACTAACCAGGCCATCGGAATTGCCAGAGGAAAAGGATACATAAGTATACCATACCGGGCCATCTGGATTGGGAGTCTGGAGAAGTCCGTTGTTGGTTCCGAGTTGCGGCTAGTAGGGGATAATGGAGAAGAAGTCGGAAAGATAGGTACCAGGGTTTGGGTGAACTTTACAAGGGTAATAGTGGTTTAAAGTGTAATCCTGACTGCAAGTATTGGCCCAGGTCATAGCATCAAACCAGGTTAGCGGTAAAAGGGAATATAGCTCACTCTGGTAGGTTTATCTCGAGGATAAAAATAGTCTAAGGATTATAGTCCTATGGTCGAATGTGAATAGATCCAGGTCTGTGATCTGATGAAATTAATACTAGGATTAGATCAGAGGGTTTAAATGGAACATCTAAGCAGGGGGTGTTAGGTATGGCAACTAGTGAGGAACCCTTAGACAGACTCCTTAAATAGGTAATATAGAAAAGTTATACGTGTAGCCAGTTGTACACTTGTCTAATAGTTCATTATAAATACGTCTATATAAAACATGTACCCGCTATAAGTATTAATAAAAAGCTTGGACCAAAGAGGTCACCTTAATACCGAAAAAAAAAAAAATAAGAAGATAAAATAAAATATTAAGTAAATATTAGATTAAAATGTTTGGTAAAAGGTTTAGTATATAGTTTTTTGATATATTCAACTAAGCTAATAGGTTTTGTATTAAATAAGTTTTTATTAAAGATAAATTTTTTAGATATTAGAAAGATATAACTCTCTTTTTATTGCTTAAATATATAATTAGTTTGAATATATTACTTGAAAAAGGCAGTTATTGTTTAGAAAAAAGCAAAGCCAACTTGTTTAAGCAACTTATATTTAATTTCAAATAAGTCATATACCTTGTTGTTAGAAAGTTGGCTAAAAGTTGTAGAAATTTTATTTAATAAAATTTAGCTAGAGCTGAACTAGTTGTAGTTTTAGATTGATATTCTTTTAACCAGTTAGAATTAAATTTATAAATATTAGTAAGTCTGTAAGCAGTTTAGTTGTTAAAATATTGTTTAATATATTTTTTAATAAGTTTAAGATTTGTTATAATATTATTTAGTGTTTTAATATTATTAATTTTTATAGGATCTTTGTGACAATTAAGTTTATTATTAATTATTGTTTTAGAATTAGTTTGAAGTTTGAAACATTAATTAGTAATATGTTAGTTTATTTTTTCTTAAATTTGCTTAATATTTTCTATATTATAAATATAATAAAAAGCTTATTATTTAGTATTAGTATTGGTAATTTAGTTTGATATAAGTTTATAAAAATTGAGTATAAGATAAATATTAAGTTAGTAAGTTGAATTGAGATAAGATATAGTAGAATTAAGATGTATGAATATTGGTATTATATTAGTTAGAAAAGCTTTTATTTGTTTAATAATACTATTTAGTTTTTTTGAGATTTTGGTGAAATAAAGTAGATTTAGCAGAAAATAAATATTAAAAATTACAGATTATAGTTTTTTGTTAGAAATACATTTAATAGCTACATTAATAATATTAGTTTGAGAGAATAGTAATTCTAATTGACGATTATTTGAACCAATCTTTCCAAAAAGCCGAACTATAGAAAATGATATAGTTAATATATTAAACTTTATGAAAACCTTTCTGAAGTACTATACATACATTGTTGGACATTGAAATTGAGTTGAAAAAGAATTGCAACCTTGTAGTAATAGTTTAAAGAGTACTCTAGGACTATAGAAGAAGTAGTTGGTAAAAGCCAAGGTTCTTCATTAAGTAAACAACAAAGTTGGATATATTAGTTCTATAAAATTGTAAAACCTACAAGGAATACCCACAAGGGTTAAGAACTCACAAAAGCTAAAAGTTGGTTCACCTAGCACTCTC